ATTACATACACATACCAACATCATATAACTAAACTAAACAACACACCCCATAAAAAATAACTATAACAAAACAATAACAATTTAACTCATAATATAAAACAAATAAAAAAAAAATCCCACAGCCCCCACCAACATATCATGATCTCCTCTCCATTCCAATTAAAAACACCAAACCAACAAAATAAAAACCACCCTATTTATATTAAGACAAATGCGATTTAAAATAATGCCCTATAATATTACAAAAATAACAAGTAAACTAAAAAATCCAACCAAACACACCCCATATAGTAAGATACATACCAAACTCCCTGACGCAACACTTATATTTATCCCTCTTTATCACACTAAAACTGCATGAACGATATGAATTTTATACGTTCCTCTGTTCCCAACGTTATTGTATATATTCAAGAGACTATACTTGTCATCAATATACACCAATCAGTTGTAACAATCACAGAGAACGCACTACAACATGAAACAACACCAATCTGTCACACGATCACTTCATTAATTAAATTACCGCTCCTATTTATACCCCACATACCTGTTTCCCAAACCCCATTCAAAAATCAATATAAAAATGCGCCCCTTATAGTTCCACATCTACCCCAGAATTATTGATCATCTATATAACAACATCTAGATTCTATTCATCTGTCCACCTTACCAATCTCCAATATTAATTGTTCCAATATATTACTCCATTACCCATACTTGTCCAAAAAAATACATACAAAATTGTCACACTAATGTTGCACCAATTACACACTTAGACACCTTTACCCATGTCAAGATAAATACCACAATTTTAGATATTCCTAAATTATAAACACATTAGTGTCATTTACCACAATTAGATAGAATGCACCTAAATCCTAACCAATCAATAACATGATGACGCCACTCCAAATATAATAAATATCCCCACCTCTCTTAGAAAAAAGTGACTCTCACTTGTGTACAAAAAACTAAACCCGCCTTGAAACATAGTCCACCCAAATATTAATTTCCAACAACAATTCTTTACACCAAACCCAAATATACTCACCATATTCAATAAATATTTGACATAACCATTAACCTAATAACGACCAGCAGTTCTACTACATATACTGCGCAACCGTACACATATGTTAACAGTTCAATGTATTACTAAATTGTTTGCTGTGTCCCCACACGTTCATCGTACCACCAATACTTCCCCTGAATATTCTGAATTACACCTATGCAATAACAATATGTTATCTATCTTTTCCATTATACATCTGATATACGCACACATAACAAATCATCCCAATAACAAATGTGTCCCACACAGTACCATCCCTCCACCTCCCAACCCCATTTACACCCAATCAAATCCGCTAACATAGAACCCCCGTATATCCTCTCACTGTAACACTTCCAACAAACAAACTTCACCACCTAATATAATCATAACATATTCACAATCATCTAAACATAAAAAACCTTCAGAGTCACCATAATAACCGTATTTCTGTCATAGACCCCAAAGATGCCCATATATTTCAATATGTGTTTCAAGTATTTACTCCATTTCCCAATAATTCTATTTTACTGTTCCGATATGACACCATAATCCAATTAACAAAATAGTGAATGCTCTTCCCCCTACTCTGCCACATGACAATACGCAGCCTCAATATATTACAATTTCCTACATCCACCTTGAGATATCACCTCTCTTGTACAGAATCGTCCACCAGCTATTAAATGTTGTCATCTCCAATCACGTCATATCAGTAATTCGCTACAATGTGACAGTAGAATGTAAGGTACGTTTCCATTTCTGACATCAAGTACCATTGCTCATCCATTAGTTCTCAGTCCATATCAATATTCACCCCCAATTTATACTTTAAACTAACTCGTAGTATACTATTAGTCATCAATATAATTGATAGTACCAGATATAGTAATAATAATTGTCATCCATCTGTTGATCCCAATACTTGTCCTCTAATAAAGCATTGTATAAACTTACCCAGCGTGTAATCACAATAAATTTCAATATTATATCCCCTACCAACAAATAATATCTATCAGCGATATTGTCACCAACATACTTTAAATATGTTGCTCTCAAACATACAAGAGTGTTCCTGTCCCTCAATCGTACCGAATCTCTTCCTTCCCCACCCCTCATGTCCATCAGACCCACTGTTAATACTCCCTGTCCCCAATATTACTCCCTTCACATCCAAGCATGTCCCAATATAGAGTCATACTCTACCACATTGTTCCACAAGAGTAGTTAAACCCGCTCCAAGTTACAACAATACGTCCATCTATCAATATGATAGATGACCACACAGAGACCACCCCTACTTTAGAAATCACGCCCTCTTCACCCAAGAATGATTGCTGACTCCCTGTCCTCATGAACACCAAGAGAGTGATAAGATAGATAGATCTCCCATATTCCAATAAGAAGACTATAGATAGAGGATATACCCAGAGAGAGAGATAGAGAGAGATATCCAGAGATATATATGAGAGACAATTAACTCCTCTCCCCCCACTCTCTCACACTACTCCTCTACTATTCCCTCAAGGAGACTAACATTGACAGTATATACTCTTGCCCCAATAACTCCTGTTGTGTACAAATTGTAGATTACTCCCTTCCATACAATATCGTATATTAAGTATGAGACGGGGAGCCAGGGCTACCTACACCTGGGCTACCTGCACCTGACTTCCTACAAATAAGTACATATCACCTCTCTCCCTACATTAAGATTACTTTAAGATAAGTAATGAATTTACTGTGAATGTATTTTACTTTGTGTGTTTTTAATGCCTAGTTCTATTACTAACTTAATCCTTAACCCTTTGAGGGTTTTGGTCGTACTAGTACGTCTTACGCGTAGGGGTTTTTGACGTACTAGTACGCATAAATTCTAGCGGCCTCAAATCTAGTGGGAGAAAGCTGGTAGGCCTTCATATGAAAGAATGGGTCTATGTGGTCAGTGTGCACAGTCTAAAAAAAATCCTGCAGCACACAGTGCATAATGAGAAAAAAAAACTTTGACCATTTTTTTGGAATAAATCAGCGACTTTGCAGTGTATTTTCGTATGGTATTTATTATTGTATTCTAGTTTTCTTGGTCTCATTTTATACAATGGAAGACATATTACAGAAATTGAGATGATTTTGACTGGTTTTACAATGAAAGGTGCCTTGAAATTGAGCTCAAAGTAGCAGAAATGTTCAATTTTTACCAAACTTCAAAAGTAAACAAATCGTGCCAAGCGTGCAATACATGTCAACTGGTGAGTCTAATATTCTTTCACAAGTGCACCAATAATATTTATACCATTTTTTACACTAATGCAGTAGTTTGCATAACAGTAAATCTTATATTTTTTGTGAGAATAACAATTCAAAGTGGAAAGCAAAAGAATATAAGAGGGGCCTTGAGACGTGACTAATGACTAGAGGAAATGTCATTTTAGTGCCAGGAATGTCTTTCTTGTTTATTCTGGACCCTATTCAGAAATTGGCATCTTTTGAAATTTGTGTGAAATTGGCAAAATTGCTAAATTCGGACCACTGTACTGGATAGTTGAATTTCATAAATGGGTGGTTTCTTGCACCCATTCGATAGAAAAAATGGAGTTCTAGCGAAATATTCATGTTTTTTGTCGACTAGTACAGTGAAATTGGCCGAAAATGGGGCTCAAAGTGGGCAAAATCGCCGATGCGTAAACATCGCCGAGACCGCTAACTTTGCGAGAGCATAATTCCGTAAGTTTTCTATCAAATTTCAAACTTTTGGTGTCTTTATGATCGGGAAAAGATTCTCTATCTTTTCATAAGAGAAAATATTTTTTTTTTTTTTAAATTTGGCCGACCCTGAGAACGAGTTTCGGAGAGGGCCTGTCGACCCTCAAAGGGTTAAACGGTCCAAACGTATATATACGTTCACGCGCGTAGTGCCCCAAACGTATATATACGTTTTCTTTGTCATTCATTCAACATTGCCACGATAAGCCAGAGTCACCTAGACATGAGAGAATGGGTGTGCGCACTCACTGTGTGCCATATTAAAATAATTGAGGATGCCTGGGTACCATATGCTTTTTTTTCCTTTAAAAAAAAAAGTTTTTTTCTCTCAAAAAATTTGGGGCGCTACGCGAGTGAACGTATATATACGTTTGGACCGTTTAAGGGTTAATATAATTTAGTGTAAACTTGTTGTCTGGCATTTATATGCATTTATAAATGGAAAAAAATGGCGTTCTGCCTTCCGGCGATGTCTGCTTTCCAGCAACAGCCTGGAACCTAACCCGCCGTATAAGTGGGGCCCTACTGTATATTCACCTGTTATATGCTACACAATAACTGCACAAACATTGTTATCATTATACTGTTCACAAAACATGCTTACACAAACCCATGCTGCCTTCCCCATCACCTACGCTGCCTTCCCCACCACCCACATGGAAATAAGTCACTTTGAATGTTTTTTTGGGTTATCCTAGGTAATCTACACATGTGCTGCTACGTTGTTTACACAAACCCACGCTGCCTTCCCCACCACCCACGCTGGCTTCCCCACCAACCATGCTGTCTTCCCCACCACCCACACAGAATTAGGTCATTTAGGAAGAGTTCCAATTTGCCGGGAAACAAGATAATCCTTACCACTAGGCATGGGTGAACAAGGCATACTGAATTAGCGCTCCCACAATGCACTGCAGCCTCCTCGATTTTTTTTTTATACTGCGCACACTGACCACGCAGAGCCATTCTCTCACATGTAGGTCTACCAGCCTTCTCCCACTAGATTTGAAGCCGCTAGAATTTTGGCATATTAATACATCACCAACGCTGGCTTGTAAGCCGTATCTATACGTCACTGACAGTGAAAGGGTTAAGAACTGAGCAAGCTTGTGTAAGCATCATAGATCAGAGTGAATGGAAAAAAGTGGTTTTCATGGCATGATGTGCTGTTGAAGTGTGAATAAGACAACATTTATAAAGGGACTCAGAGTAAATCAGCTAGCCGGACTTAAGTCCTGGATGCGGGAGGTACAGTGCTGGCACTCTGAAGGGCAATTTGGAGATGCTGTAGTTCAGAGAGCCATTTGAATTGTGATGTTAATGCTTTTCTGGAAATACAGCCATTGAATAAATTATGGAGAATTTGTTTCCTCTATGGGGTCATCCTACCTTGGTATGGCAAAAAAGCTCTAGGTCTGGATTAAAGTAACTTTTTTATTTTTGATACTGTAAGAGGGGCATAAGAGGCATGATTTTATTTGTCTGAACTGAAGGATGGATAAGAGAGGCCAAGTCTGAATTCATAACGCATGAAAAACTGATTGGAGAATATTGAACACACACGGACTGAGAGTTGGATGTAAACTACTGCATATATAATTAATTTCATTCATACCTGATTAGGATGATAGCAAGTATATGTATGGTTTGCAACAATAATGTGCAATCTACCATCAACACACATATACTGATAGCAGCCAGAGCCCCAGTGCTGCCACTGTCTAAGGTGGTAGCAAGTGCGCTCAGTCCATTCTCGTTGCTGGTTAAAACATTTGCTTTCTTCTGTGTATGATTCCAGAGCAAAGTTCTTTTCTGCATCTGTATAATAAAACAAAGTTTTAAAGAGACCATAAAATGCAAATACAAAATGACAAAATTCACATTATGAAGACAACAATATGTGCTAATGAGAATATCTACACACTTTTCATGTGAACTATATCTCAATACTAAACATAACATTAAAACAAAACAATATTGTAAAGATAAAACTGCAAATTTTAATTGTAATCATATCAAATTCTCAAGTTTATGGTAATGCAATCAGTGGCTGTAGCAGTTCATCTACTGCATTATTTTAGTCATGACTCAATATTTTAAACACCATCTGTGTTATTGTAAACATTGCAGTAAACACTCTCACATCAAATATGTATAACAAGACATTTAGATTTGCCAAATTTAGTTTTTATAACCATAACTTGTATAAAATATAACTACTAATTCTCCACAGGTACGTGGAAAAGGATTTTTCCTCCCTAAGCCATGTTCGTCATAAGAGGCGACTAAAATGCCAGGAGCATGGGACTAGTAACCCCTTCTCCTGTATAAATTATTAAATGTAAAAAGAAGAAAACCTTTAAGAAAGCGTTTCTTCTTTTTCAGGTCACCCTGCCTTGGTGGGAGGCGGCTGGTGTGTTAAAAAAAATTACTAACATAATCACAGATAATACTAATAACATAATTGCAAAAGCCACACAACTATCCACAAACCTGGGTTATTTTCCTCATACTGGCAGTGTGAACCCCGAATAATAACATCTTGACTCTTCCAGGTAAACTCTTGTATGTAGGGGCAGTAATCAGCAAGAGCTACAGAGCCTCCATAGTGACCAACTCTGTGTGCTGATACATGGGGAATCACTCCAAAGTTCTGGGAAAACAAAACAGATTCTTCAGGTCTACATTTACAGAAGATATAATAATAATAGTATATTTATTTCTACAAGTACATGGGTACATAGGCCTAGCTGACATCAATGACATATAATTAATTCACTTCCCCTGTATATACAAATGTAAACATCTTAAGACAATGTATTGGCCCTTTGACTGTCGAGACCCCTGCTCACAAATTTGCTCTCAGTGTCGAAGAATTTAAAAAAAAAAAAAAAAATTCTCATGAAATGATAGAGAATCTTTTCCCGATGGTAATGACACCAAAAATACATAATTTGATTGAAAACTTACGGAATTACACTTTTGCAAAGTTAGTAATCTTGGCAATATTTACACATCGGCGATTTCGCCCACTTTGAGCCCTATTTCCTGCCAATTCCACTGTTCCAGTCGACAAAGCTCATAGCTATTTCTTTAGAACTCCATTTGTTCTATCGATTGAGTACAAGAAACTGCCCATTTACTGATTGCAACTACCCAATAAAGTTGTCAGAAATTGGCAATTTGGCCAATTTCACGCAAATTAAAAATGATGCCAATTTCAAAATAGGGTCCAGAATGAACAATGCAGACATTCCTGACACTAAAATAACATTTTCTCTGTTCATCAGTCACATCTCCAGGCCCCTCTTATATTACTCTTGCTTTCTATTTTGAATTTTCATTCACACAAAAAATGGAAGATTTACTGTTATGCAGACGAGTGCATTTTTGTAATAATTGTATAAATAATGTCAACCCATTCGTGACTGCATATTAGAATGGCTAGTTGGGCACTTACTCTTGAACATCGGCAAAAATCGAACATTTCCACTACTTTGAGCTCAGTTTCAAGGTCCTTTTCATCATGAAACCAATCAAAGCCATCTCTATTTCTGTAATATGTCTTCCATTCTATCAAATGAGATCAAGAAATTGAGAATACAACCATAAATACTATACGAAAATACACCTCAAATTCAGCGTTTTAATCCAAAAACACAGTCAGAGGTTTTTCTTTTTCTCTCTCATTATGCACTGCATGTTGCAGGATTTTTTTTATGCTGTGCACAATGACCACACAGACCCATTCTCTCACATGTGGGCCTACCAGCTTTCTCCCGCTTGATGTGAAGCTGTTAGAATTTTGAAGTATAAATACGTCAAAAACACTGGCTCATAAGACATGTATATACGACCGAAACAGTCAAAGGGCTAATAATCTGATAATACTCTACAGGTGTTGCAAATTTATGCATGTTTAAAGTGATTTATAGCAGTAAATATTTTAGCATTATTTTAATGCAGTCAACTGTTTGCAATTAACTATTTCTAGCTATAGAAGCAGAGTTATGCTAATAGTGTATAAATGAGGCAAAGGAATAGATGGAAAATTAAAAAGGCACAATACAGTATATAAAATGCTAAACAGGAAGGACAGTAGTCTCTAAAAATATTTAGGTACAGATGTGCTAAGGTAATTTTGCAAACATAATACTGAAACATAAGAGATTAAAATGACAAAGTTGATGAAAGAATATGGCGTTAGTGAAATATCTTACTCGTACTGTACTCACTTGGTAATGCAATGGCAACTGGTTTTTGTGTTCTATTAAGTTACAGAGAGCAACAGAGCTTCGGTCCTCAGTGCAGTCAGTCTCTAATGGGTCTCTTTTGACTTTGTTGCAGAATGGATGAATGCTTTTACCTCTGTTAAACAAAAAATGGTAAGGATGGTCTCATTAATTTTTATTTGTACAACAGAAGAATAGTTTATTTGAAATATTCAGATATGCACTTACTACATTTCAAATCCATTAAATGCACAGTAACAATGTTTTGTGCTGAATATTCATATTTTAATACATTCTACCCACAAATGTTTAAACATTTTATATACTATGAGTGGTACACTGAGATATCTGTGGAGACAAAAAAAACATTACCCATGAAGGCAAAGAAGGGAATGTACAAGAGTGTATAGTGGTACCAACACTCTTATATGGGTGTGAAGCAAGGGTAGTAAATGCTGCAGAAAGGAAGCTGGAGGCAGTGGAGATGTCGTGTCTAAGGGCAAGGTGTGATGTAAATATTGTGCAGAGAATTTGTAGTGTGGAAATTAGGAAGAGGGGTGGAGTTACTAAAAGTATTATTCAGAGGACTGAAGAGGGGGGGGGGGGGGTTGCTGATGTGATTGGGTCATTTAAAGATGGAGCAAAATAGGATGACTTGAAGGGTGTATAAATCTGTAGTAGAGGGGAGAAGGAGTAGGGGTCATCCTAGAAAAATATGGGAGGGGGTAAAAGAGGTTTTGTGTGTAAGGGGCTTGGACATGCAGCAGGTATGTGTGAGTGTGTTAGATAGGGATGTATGGAGATGAATTGTTTTTGGGACCTGACGAGCTGTTGGAGTGTGAGCAGGGTACTATTTTATGAAAGGATTCAGGGAACTGGTAAGCCAGACTTGACTCCTGGAGATGAGCAGTACAATGACTGCACTTTAAAGGAGGGGTCTGAGATATTGGCTATTTGGAGTGACAACTAAACTGTCGTATCTGGGCACCTCTGCAAAGGCAGTGATTATGTGTGAATGATTGTGAAAGTGTTTCTTTCGGTGGGAGGTTGCCGACGTGTTAAATAAAAAAAAAGTGGTTTATATTTATGGGATTAACAGAAATGAAATTTGCTTTTTAGAAAACTACCAGTCTTGCTGTTTGTATATCAGTGGGTTAGACTGTACAGTTCATGTATGTTAAAACTAACTGTTTCATGGTCAAACTCATTCACCCTTCTGAAACTGTTCTTTTTTTTATGCCTTTTTAGAAGTTATTTTTTTTTTTTTCCAAAAAGCCTACCCATCAACCTTTTATCCACCAATACATAATTTAACAAACTACTTTCATTATGTGCTATATCATACCTTGTATACTTATTTATCCTCTTTTTCATAAAATATGTATTACTTATTAACAAACTTCTTTCTACACAGCTCAAATAACCCTTTCAGGGTCGAGAGGCCCTCTCCTAAACTTGTTCTCAGGGTCGAAAATTTTTTTGGAAAAAAAAAAAAAAAAAAAATTTCTTATGAAATGATAGAGAATCTTTTCCCAATCATAATGACACCAAAAGTATGAAATTTGATGGGAAACTTACGGAATTATGCTCTTGCGAAGCTAGCGGTCTCACCGATGTTTATGCATCGGCAATTTCGCCCACTTTGAGCCCTATTTTCAGCCAATTCCTGTGTACCAATTGACAAAAATCATATTTATTTCCCTAGAACTCCATTTTTTCTATTGAATGAGTACAAGAAACCACCCATTTACCAATTTAAACTATCCAATAAAGTGGTTAGAAATTGGCAATTTTGCCAATTTCACATAAATTTCAAAAGATGCCAATTTCCAAATAGGGTCCAGAATAAACAAGACAGACATTCCTGGCATTAAAATAACAAGTTCTCTGTTCGTTAGTCATGTCCCCAGGCCCCTCTTATAATTCTTTTTCTTTCCACTTTAATTTTTATTCTTACAAAAAATAGAAGATTTACTGTTATGCAGACTACTGCACTAGTGTAAAACTGGTATAAATAATATCAGCGCACTTGTGAAAGAATATTAGACTCACCAGTTGATATGTATTGGACGCTTGGCATGATTTGCTTACTTTTGAACTTTGGTAAAAATCGAACATTTCTGCTGCTTTGAGTTCAATTTCAAGGTACTTTTCATTGTGAAACCAATCAAAGTCATCTCAATTTCTGTAATATGTCTTCCATTCTATAAAATGAGACCAGGAAAACTAGAATACAACCGTAAATACCATACGAAAATACAGTGCAAAGTCGCTGTTTTAATCCAAAAATACGGTCAGTTTCTTTTTCTCATTACGTACTGTGTGCTGCAGGATTTTTTTTATACTGCGCACACTGACCACATAGACCCATTCTTTCATATGTAGGCCTACCAGTTTCCTCTTACTAGATTTGAAGGCGCTAGAATTTAGGCATTCTAGTACGTCAATAACCCTGGTGCATAAGCCGTACAAGTACTTCAAAAACCCTGAAAGGGTTAAGGCTCCCAATTTTCATTTACCCCTGACACCCCAAATTTACCTACTACTCCCTCCACAACATTTTTACCCACTTTAGAATTGAAATCCCCAACCACAAGTACTCTCACACTTGGTTCAAAACTCCCCACACACTCAATTCCCAAAATCTCTCTCTCCTCTACACTTCTATTTTCTCCAGGTGCATAAATGCTTACTATAGCCTACTTTTCACATCCAACCTTTATTTTACTCCACATAATCCTTGAATTAATACATTTATATTTCCTCTTTTCAATTAAATTTCCTTATACAATTATTCTCAGTTGTTTTGGGATCACTAAATACAACTACATTTGTTACCAAAATATTTACAAATACATGTCTCATCTATTTTAACTGCAATAAACTTGTTCCATTTTGAGAGTTTTTCCTACCACTGTTCAACCAGGCAGTTGCTGTTGGCAGCCCACTGGACTGCATATATATCACAGCCAAGCTGATCTTGCACTTGGCAGAGATAGTGATCCAGCTTCCTCTTGAAAACTTCTACATCTGTTCTGGCATTATTTTTGATGTCTGCTATTAGCAGGCTCAACAGACTTAGACCATTAATGTTGACACATTGTTTTCTTATTATGCCTATGATAGCCCTGGTACTTTCGTTTTTCCTTTTGGACTTTCATTTTTCCTTTTGGGCCACCCCGCCTCGGTGGGATACGGCCGGTGTGTTGAAAGAAAGAAAGAAAGATAGCCCTGGTTTTCACCAATTCAGTTTTACATTTCCTCCTATATCTCTTGCTCCAGTACCTTGTTATGGCAATGTCTAGATTTGGCACAAGACCCTCAAGTAACTTCCATGAATATTATTATGTACAGTATCTATCTCTATCTTTATCTCTCTCTCTCTCTCTCTCTCTCGTTGCTATCTCTCTCTTTCTATCCAGTAAGGCCCCACTTTATGGCATTCCTCTTTTTGGCATTCTGCTAATTCAGCAGTTTTCAATGATATCTACTGTTCTTTATGTTCAGCGCTTGTTTCGCTTTTTCGTCATTTTTCGGCCTGATGTGTTCAATAACTGAATCGGAGTCATATCTAGCACTATTTTACTGTCAGTGATTCAATCTGTTTACAGCATTTGTGTGCTCTGCATCTCTCTGTATTCTGGCAATTTTCCAGAGTTCCAATCATTTTAAAGTTGCTACGTATATTTATATAACATTTTTGTGTTAATTGCAATGGCATCTAAGGGTAGTTGTGATAAAAAGAGGTGTCATTGGCCTCTTACTTTAAATGCCAAGTTAGAAATTATTAAACTCTGTGAGTAAGCTATGTCTATGGATGAGACAGGATGTAAGCTAAGTTTGGCTTACCAAACAATTAGTACAGTTGTGAACTTTAGGAAGAAAGTGCTGAGGGAAATTAAAAGTGGCACAGTATTGAACACTTAAGTTATAAGAAAAGGTGATAGCCTTATTGCTGACATGGAAAGACTTTTACTGGTGTGGGTTGAAAATCAAACCAGTCATAATGTGCCTTTAAGCTAGCCTTGAGCAACTGTCAACATCAAGAGCAACACAAACCCCTTCAAGTCTCCATCATAAAAACAAATAAGATTTGTTAAAGAGTCAGATGATGAAAATGTTCCATCTCCTTCATCCTTCCTACAATAGGTATGCATTTTAGAGTACAAAAAAAAAAAGGCTATCTTTTGTTTTTCGTTGATTTTTGCTTTTTAGACGAACCTGGGAACCTAACCCGCTATATAAGTGGGACCCTACTGTATCATTTAGGTAAAGACTTTTCTATTACAACCAAAAACAAGCTAACAATTATTCATATACACTCTTATTCTTTCCCTTACAACCCTGTCCTCTTTAGTTTAGATAAAAGGGTGTCTCCTGTGTGTATATTTTGTTGTCCAATAAATAATTACTATATTAATTAATGACTTATATTTATATAAAGTACATACTAAAGTGTACTTACTTTTTAGTTTGTTCCTCCATATATTCCTTACAACTTTTCATGGCAAACGTGCAGCCGAGGTGGTGTCCCCACTTGAGAGGTTGAGCAAGGTGGTAGTTGGCTCGGTACCACCCAGTGTCCTCCATCAGTGCCAGGGTGATACGAGAGTATGCAGGATTCTGGGTGTGGGTTCCTGTCATTGCTTCATTCTGAGAAAAATAAAATCACCTTCAACAGTCACTTTTTTGCATTATTAGCTTAAAGAAAATCAGTAGTAAAATATAATGTGTGCACAATTAAAATATGAACCACTGCAACTTGGCAACATATATAGTAATGCTGTATACAATAAAATGAATAAAATACGTACACACTTCATAAAATTATAAAGCACAGAACTGTGCTACATTGTTCATCATGAGTTGTATGATTTACAAAGCACTAGAATAGTAGATTATTCAGTAATTTTTAACAGAGTTGCTGACATTTTTAATTCACTGCCATCACTAATTTTCAGCTTTCTTAACAATATACTACTACCAGTATGAATAAGCTGATACTGTGATTTATTTACTGTAATATTACAGATCCTAGGTAGTAGGTTGGTAGGCAGCAATCACCCAGGGAGGTACTTCCATCCTTCTAAGTAAGTGTAAAATGGAAACCTGTAATTGTTTAACATGATGATAGGATTGCTCGTGTCTTTTTTTTTGTCTCATAAACATGTGAGATAACAGGTATATCTTGCAACTTCTACTTACACTTAAAGTCACACTACACATTAATGTTCAGCCATATATAATTACATCCCCATCTGGGTTTTCTTCTATTTTCTTAACAGTTCTTGTTCTTTATTTCTTATCGCAATGGGGAAACACTTTAATTTTTCTTTTAAGGTCACCCTGCCTTAGTAGGATATAGCAGGTTAGATGAAAAAAACAAAAATATTACAGATATTGTAATTTTTTTTTTAACACATTGGCCATTTCCCACCAAGGCAGGGTGACCCAAAAGAAAGAAAAACCCAAAAAGAAAGAAAAAGCTTTCATTATCATTCAACACTTTCACCATCATTCATACATAATCACTGTCTTTGCAGAGGCGCCCAGATATGATAGTTTAGATAGTCACTCTAAACTGCCAATATTCCAAAGCCCTCCTCGAAAGTGAAGGCATTATACTTTTCATTTCCAGGACTCAAGTCCAGTTAACCAGTTTCCCTAAATCCCTTCACTAAATATTACCCTGCTCACACTCCAACAGCTCATCATCTCCCAAAAACCATTCATCTCCATTCACTCCTATCTAACATGCTCACGCACGTTTGCTGGAAATCCAAGCCCCTTGTCAACTAAACCTCCTTTACCCCCCCTCCAATCTTTTTGAGGACAACCCCTACCCCACCTTCCTTCCCCTACATATTTATATGTTCAAGTCATTCTACTTTGTTCCATTCTCTCTAAATGACCAAACCACCTCAACAATCCCTCTTCAGCCCTCTGACTAATACTTTTAGTAACTCCACACCTTCTCCTAATTTCCACACTCCGAATTCTCTGCATAATATTTACACCACACTGCCCTTAGACAGGACATCTCCACTGCCTCCAGGCTTTCTCCTAGCTGCAGCATTTACAACCCAAGCTTCACACCCATATAAGAGTGTTGGTACCACTATACTTTCATACATTCCCTTCTTTGCCTCCATGGATAACATTCTTTGTCTCCACAGATACCTCAAAGCACCACTCACCTTTTTTTCTTCATCAGTTCTATTGTTAACCTCATCCTTCATAAACCCATCCGCTGACACATCAACTCCTAAATATCTGAAAACATTCACTTCTTCTATACTCCCTCTCTCCAATGTGATATCCAATTTTTCTTTATCTAAATCGTTTGATACCCTCATCACTTTACTCTTATCTATGTTCACTTTCAACTTTCTACCTTTACACTCTCTCCCAAACTCGTCCACTAACCTTTGTAATTTTTCTTTAGAATCTCCCAAAAGCACAGTATCATCAGCAAAAAGTAACTGCCAACACCCATTTTGTATTTGATTCCCCATAATTTAATTCCAACCCTCTCCCCAACACCCTAGCATTTACTTTTTTTACAACCCCATCTATAAATATATTAAACAACCATAGTGACATTACACATCCCTGTCTAAGACCTACTTTTACTGGGAAGTAATCTCCCTCTCTCCTACACACCCTAACCTGAGCCTCACTATCCTCATAAAAACTCTTTACAGCATTTAGTAATTTACTACCTATTCTGCCACATTGCTCCCCTATCCACTATCATATGCTTTTTCTAAATCCATAAATGCAATAAAAACTTCCCTACCTTTATCTAAATACTGTTCACATATATGCTTCAATGTAAACACTTGATCTACACATTCCCTACCCACTCTAAAACCTCCTTGTTCATCCGCAATTCTACATTCTGTCTTACCTCTAATTCTTTCAATAATAACCATGCCGTACACTTTTCCTGGTATACTCAGTAAACTTATTCCTCTATAATTTTTACAATCCAAGGTAGTAGGTTGGTAGACAGCAACCGCCCAGGGAGGTACTACCGTCCTGTCAAGTGAGCGTAAAACAGAAACCTGTTATTGTTTTACATGATGGTAGGATTGCTGGTGTCTTTTTTCTGTCTCATAAACATGCAAGATTTCAGGTACGTCTTGCTACTACTTCTTACACTTAGATCACATTACACATACATGTATACAAGCATATATACATACACACCCTTCTGGGTTTTCTTTTATTTTCTTTCTAGTGCTTGTTCTTGTTTATTTCTTCTTATCTCCATGGGGAAGTGGAACAGAATTCTTCCTCCATAAGTCATGCGTGTTGTAAGAGGCGGCTAAAATGCCGGGAGCAAGGGGCTAGTAACCCCTTCTCTTGTACAAATTACTAAATTTAAAAAGAACAACTTTCGTTTTTTTTTTGGGGCCACCCTGCCTAGGTGGGATACGGCCGGTTTGTTGAAAAAAAAAATTACAATCTCTTTTCTCCCCTTTCCCTTTATATAAAGGGACTATACACGCTCTCCGCCAATCCCTAGGTACAGGTGGAAAACATTAGGGACGTGTTTCCATGAGACACCTACCATCCATGCTCACCCACAAGTATAAAATGGATACCTGGGTGTTAGTTGACTGGTGTGGGTGGCATCCTCGGACAAAACTGACCTAATTTGCCTGAAATGCCCAGCATAACAAGGTACACTTGTAAATAAATATATATTATTATTATAATATAATAAATAAAAGAACTTACTCATTTTAACTGATAACATTTTATACTCTTATTTTTTTTTATAATTTTTCAAGTGTGAAATCCTTCATATGCTAATTTTTTATCCCTATTCATTTTTTATCAAATCATTCTACTGATCATTCCCTACTGCACTTAACCACTATAACAACAGACCTGGGATTAGCTCATTTTCAAATCTGCACCATACCTCTTTGATCTCGTTATTTTCTCTAACTCTCCTATCTCCAAACAGTTGTTCATACCTCTCACTAACCATCCCCTTCTTAATTCATTCACTTTTAATTCTCTTTTACTGGCCATATGTCAACCTGCACCAAAAGATAAGTAGGAAGGAGATTGGCGATATACTTTCGTAATGAAAACATTAGTTCATGAGTCCAGGTAAAATGAGGAGGTATACAAATTTGAGTAATTCAGGTGTTTTCTACATCAGCAATCAACACATGCATTGGTGTCTAATTCTCCAAGCTACCCACCATGCAATTATATGACATATTACTAAAAAATGTACATACACAAGTTTACACCAAAGGAAAAGATGGCACAAAATTCTTTATGAAACTGTGTGTGCCTGGCACACACAGTTTCATAAAGAATTTTGTGCCATGACCTTCCAGTCTTCTGTGCAATGACCTTCCAGTCTTCATTATTCATTTAAAAGAAGTGATTATTGATCTACAAAGCTGTACTACTGGGTAGTTTCTTTTTTATAACCTACCTCAAAGACTCTTTTTTCCCAGTGAGTGAGGGCAGTGCCTTCGTGACCTTGATCCTCTAGTTCAGCACCTTCCAGGTCAGGACAGTTGAAATGACTGCGAACCTGCAAAATTATTAAGAGCGGGTTTAATACACTCACTACAAAATATCCAGTCCAATAAAGAAGTTAGGATGAAACACAATGTGTCACATACCACTGCTAATACATACATAAGACAGCTGCTCATGTGCAATTGCCAACTACTGCAACACTATAAAATATTAATTGAAATCTAGACTTTTCCCAATACATATACTTAAACTAGCTAGAGTTACATTAGACTACAAAAGTGATGACCCAACAGAAGTCAATAAATACAGACCAATTTCTAACATGCCATTATCAAAAAAAATTTTTATCTTTTTTAATGCACTAGCCATATCCCAGCTAGGCAAGATGACCTAAATTTTTTTTTTTTTTTAACAAGTCGGCCGTCTCCCACCGAGGCAGGGTGACCCAAAAAGAAAGAAAATCTCCAAAAGAATATACTTTCATCATCATTCAACACTTTCACCTCACTCACACATGATCACCGTTTTTGCAGAGGTGCTCAGAACACAACAGTTTAGAAGCATATACGTATAAAGATACACAACATATCCCTCCAAACTGCTAATATCCCAAATCCCTCCTTTAAAGTGCGGGCATTGTACTTCCCATTTCCAGGACTCAAGTCCGGCTATATAAAAATAACCGGTTTCCCTGAATCCCTTCGCTAAATATTACCCTGCTCACACTCCAACAGATCGTCAGGTCCCAAATACCATTCGTCTCCATTCACTCCATTCAGCCCCTTGCTCCCGGCATTTTAGTAGCCTCTTACGACATGCATGCCTTATGGAGGAAGAATTCTTTTCCACTTCCCCATGGAGATGAAATTTTTTTTTTTATTTTATTAACATACTGGCCGATTCCCACCAAAGCAGGGTGGCCCGAAAAAGAAAAACTTTCATCATTATTCACTCCATCACTGTCTTGCCAGAGAGGTGCTTTACACTACAGTTATAAAACTGTAACATTAACACCCCTCCTTTGTTAAAAACACCTTTTCAATCTTAAATATTATATACAATGTGGCCCGGTGGTCTGGTGGCTAAAGCTCCCGCTTCACACACGGAGGGCCCGGGTTCGATTCCCGGCGGGTGGAAATTCCGACACGTTTCCTTACACCTATTGTCCTGTTCACCTAGCAGCAAATAGGTACCTGGGTGTTAGTCGACTGGTGTGGGTCGCATCCTGGGGGACAAGATTAAGGACCCCAATGGAAATAAGTTAGACAGTCCTCGATGACGCACTGACTTTCTTGGGTTATCCTGGGTGGCTAACCCTCCGGGGTTAAAAATCCGAACGAAATCTTATCTTATCTTATCTTACAGTAAATGCCTGTAAATACTTTTGAAATGCTGTCACCACTATAGTTCTACCACTGCAGAAAATACACATCCTTGATCTAATACAATGTAAATTATCTGTAATTGCCTAAAATTATATAGTATGACTAGAATTAAGAAGTACAATATAAGTTCTAGGATTTGTTTGCCCAAAATGCTATGTATAATGAGTAAAATACTCATGCCAGATTCTGACACATTAAAAGTAGTGCATATATACTAGCTACATTACCTCTTCTCTCACTCTTGGAGTGACAACCATATTGACTTCTTTTAATGTAACTCCGCCTCGAACTGCCCACTTGGGTCTCACTACACGCTTGATGACTCTGTCACTCCATTGCCTCGCTTGTAATCTGGGAAAAGCATTTTGATATTAAAATTGTAATGTGAAAAAAATTAAAATCTCATAATACAGTATACAAGACATACATATATGGTAATTAAAATCGGTTTAATTGTTGTTTTAAATGTATGAATGTAATGATGCAGTATTTTATACTAATTTTAATGTTGTTAGTGCTGTTTCTTAGGTTGGAATACACTTATGCTTCTTTCGTAACACCTCATGGAATAAATATCTTGGGCAAAAGGGCAATTTAAGAGGAAATTTTAGACCTGTTGTAAATATTCAAGTACACTTGAACCCCCAATATCCACAAATTCAGTTTCTGCTGTTTCAGTTATCCACGGTTTACTGTGGCTAAAAAATAACCCTTAATTTTGCTTAATAATAACACCAAGTTGCAGAGGTTGGTGGATGAATTTGGTAGGGTATGTAAAAGAAGAAAATTGAAAGTGAATACAGGAAAGAGTAAGGTTATGAGGATAACAAAAACATTAGGTGATGAAAGATTGGATATCAGATTGGAGGGAGAGAGTGTGGAGGAGGTGAATGTATTCAGATATTTGGGAGTGGACGTGTCAGCGAATGGGTCTATGAAAGATGAGGTGAATCATAGAATTGATGAGGAGAAAAGGGTGAGCGGTGCACTTAGGAGTCTGTGGAGACAAAGAACTTTGTCCTTGGAAGCAAAGAGGGGAATGTATAAGAGTATAGTTTTACCAATGCTCCTGAATGGGTGTGAAGCATGGGTGATGAATGTTGCAGGGAGGAGAAGGCTGGAGGCAGTGGAGATGTCATGTCTGAGGGCAATGTGTGGTGTGAATATAATGCAGAGAATTCGTAGTTTGGAAGTTAGGAGAAGGTGCGGGATTGCCAAAACTATTATCTAGAGGGCTGAGGAAGGGTTGTTGAGGTGGTTCGGACATGTAGAGAGAATGGAGCGAAACAGAATGACTTCAAGAGTGTATCAGTCTGTAGTGGAAGGAAGGCGGGGTAGGGGTCGGCCTAGGAAAGGTTGGAGGGAGAGGGTAAAGGAGGTTTTGTGTGCGAGGGGCTTGGACTTCCAGCGGGCATGCGTGAGCATGTTTGATAGGAGTGAATGGAGACAAATGGTTTTTAATACTTGACGTGCTGTTGGAGTGTGAGCAAAGTAACATTTATGAAGGGATTCAGGGAAACCGGCACACCTGACTTGAGTCCTGGAGATGGGAAGTACAGTGCCTGCACTCTAGAGGAGGGGTGTTAATGCTGCAGTTTAAAAACTGTAGTGTAAAGCACCCTTCTGGCAAGACAGTGATGGAGTGAATGATGGTGAAAGTTTTTCTTTTTCGGGCCACCCTGCCTTGGTGGGAATCGGCCAGTGTGTTAATAAAAAAAAAAGTAGTAGTGGTGGCAGTTTTTAAAAGCCTAAGAGAAGACATGAAGTGCTTCCTAGCAGTGAAAAAGTGCTAATTCTCCACTTATTGTGCATAATTTATCAATTAAACTTTTTTATAGCTATGTATGTAAACAAAAATCAACTTTTATATAGGGTTCGCTATTAACCTCGGTTTCAGGCATCCATGGTAGGTCTTGGGACATATCCCCCATGGATATGCGGGGACTACTGTACTGTATGCTGTAGAGTGAAAGGTATTCACATGCTTCAGTGTATCTAATGATAAAAAAAATGATGTTAACAGTAATAAAAAAAATTGTTAAATTATTTATGCTTTTTAATAATTTTTAAACAATGAATATACATTTAGAAGTTATAAAGCCAACACCACAGGAAATTAGAGATAAAAAAAAGTGTAAAATGATTATTAAACAGGTTATGCAATAATTATAAATAAATAAAAGTAAGTGCAAATTAATATTAAATATCTCTGATTCATGTATGCAATGAATATGAGTTAATATATTAATTATGTACTTATTATCTTCAATTTACGTAATGAGAGTAATATGAGTTAACCATGTTCTGTCTGCTCACTTTATCTCTGAATTCATTCATTTACATATCTACTTTCTTTCAACACACCAGCCGCATCCCACCGAGGCAGGGTGGCCCAAAAGAAAAAATGAAAGTTTCTCCTTTTACATTTAGTAATATATACAGGAAAAGAGGTTACTAGCCCCTTGCTCCCGGCATTTTAGTCGCTCTTACAACACGCATGGCTTACGGAGGAAGAATTCTGTTCCACTTCCCCATGGAGGTAAGAGGACATAAACAAGAACAAGAACTAGAAAGAAAATAGAAGAAAACCCAGAGGGGTGTGTGTATATATGCTTGTACATGTATGTGAAGTGTGACCTAAGTGTAAGTAGAAGTAGCAAGACGTACCTGAAATCTTGCATGTGTACGAGACAGAATAAAAAGACACCAGCAATCCTACCATCATGTAAAACAATTACAGGCTTCCGTTTTACACTTGCTTGGCAGGACGGTAGTACCTCCCTGGGCGGTTGCTGTCTACCAACCTACTACCTAAATCACTTACATATATTCACACAATATATATTAACTGTCATCCTTATTCTAGTCCTTCTTATTCTTATGGTCCACCATAAACAATACTTTACTGAAGAACTATATGTATTTAAGAATAAAAACTTACATTTCATTTAATACAGGTTTGCCATTTTCTGCTCGATTTGTAAGAGGATTTCCATCATCATCTCGATAAAAGGCATAGAGGGAAATAGAAAAGCCCAAGGCATGAAGAATCTCGTGTTTAACTGTTGATATAAGTGTCTCCAGTTCTTGGACTTTTGTACTGATAGCACCGGGGCAGAGGTTGGCATGACCAGCAATTGGCCTGTGGAGAAAAATAATTTGTTATTCACTGCAACTCTCCTATTTATACATTACAAAACCTGCACATCAGCTGTGTTACTATCATAAAAATCATATACAGTGGAACCTCTACTTATGAGTTTAATCTGTTCCGTGACCTTGCTCGCATCTGGATTGGCTCATTTGCAGAGTTGATTTTCCTCGCTTAAATAAATTGAAATGGAATTAATTTGTTCCAGTGGAATTTCAGGCACGACGAAATACTTCAATAATTTCCCAATCAACTATACAGTTTATTTATCCATCACAATTCATCTAATATGACATAATAAACACTATTGATAACACAGAAACATGATACGTATATGCACTAGAATGAATAAAAAACATGTCATTACGTATGTGGCTAGTGGTGGTGACAGCGGCCATTGTTGTTGGGGTTTATAGGGCCACCAGTGGCCACTGCAGCTTCATGTTGTCTGCCACTGCTACCTCATGATGTCTGCTCCCACTATTGCTAGTGTGTTGAGGAGCTTTCCAACATGTGAAGGCTGAGGGGCAGTGCCAATCAGACAGTCATGTAATTTGTTTACTCTTGAACAGTGAGAAAGACTCAAACATTTCTGCTACTTTGAGCTCGATTTCAAGGTACTTTTCACCGTGAAACCAATCAAAATCATATCTATTTCTGTAGTATATTTTCCATTCTATCAAATGAGACCAAAACAACCAGAATACAGCCATAAAAACCATATGAAAATATACTGCTAAGAGGAGGCTAAAGGCTGAGAAGCGAACTCTGTTATTTATGGTCCGATTTCTTTCATTTTTGGTGTACCTTAAAAACATATTTCCATCATACACTGCCCAAGTTTCAATAAGATAGTCCAACAAACAACTGAGATCCGATTCCTTACATCAAGAGCAAGAGCCCCTCACCAGCATCAAGGAACCTCCCTTGAGGCCTGCTTGCATCTGGAAATTTCGCTCACATCTGGAAGCAAAAAATCAACCGAGCGACTACTCGTATCTGGAAAAACTCGTAAGCAGAGGTTCCACTGTAGTGCCTGGGGGATGTGATGTAATCAGATTTGATCCATGGAAGAGTATTCCTTGGGTTAAAAGCCCATCATGAGCATCAGGACACCTCCCTTAAAGGGTCGTATAATAAGAAAAGGAAGTACATACTGTATACTGTCTTATACTGAAAAAGATATTCTCAGATTTGACGTCACTATTTATCACTAATAAAAAAAAAAGCTGTTAGATCTTTAGTCTTCAGCCTACCTTAATACTACAGACAATTTATTCTTTAGATAATTTTGATCATCCTGCATTTATTTTCAGAGAAGAAATGTCATTGTACAGGTAGTGTTGATGCCTCTACACATTGTAGTGAGGTGTATGAAGAAGTGATAAGAGGCAAATTTATTATGAAGTTTTAAAAATACTTATAAGACCTCTAAACATGCCACAAACCCACAATGCTAATAAAAGTAGTTTAAGAGACAAGGTCAGGAGCTGAGACTCAACCTCAGCAAATACAAACTGGAGAGAACAGTAGTGTAGCTAGGTATGTGAGCCACATATTTGTTACTTATCAACAAAATTTCTAATTATCTATATATTTACTTACCTTTAATTCAATGATCATATGTATACTTTCATTTCCAAGTGGAACTGATGGGGGTTATGTTAACTTTGTGAGTGTTGTTGTGACTCCACAATAACCTCACAGTAATTGTTACTGGTGGCCAAAATTAACATCAATACACTCCTTCAGAATTGTTTAACTATGTTCATTACCAATTATGCTTCTATAATATATGTACGTCATTTTCAAGTAAAATATTGTGGATCAAGTGTAATATGCATCTATTAATATAGTGATTCAAATTATTCTCTGAACTTACTGAGATTACATATTTTCATCCAAAATCTTATATATTAGCATGTAGCAAATAAAAATAATGTACTGTAATATCAACCAAGCTGAGAAATCCAAAATTTACACAGAAAAACCACTACTAACTGACCGCCACAAGCTTCTATGGGATGTAACAACGACATGAGAGTCAAACCTGTCAAGAGCAGCCTCCTGCTGGCAGTGTGCAGCATAAGCTACAGTGTAGCCTCTCTTGCAGCGCTCTGTCTCCAAGGCTGAGATGTAGAACACAAAGTCTGCACCATTAATACCTTCTCCTTCTTCCTTGTTCACCACCCGACAGTTCTGACCCAGTGTGTTGCAAACACGGCAAGCCTGTATTCACAGTTTGATTTAAACACAATATCTATTATACATAATTTTTTTTTCAACATGTCAGCCATCTCCCACCAAGGCAGGGTGACCCAAAAAGAAAGAACCCCCCCCCCCCAAAAAAAAGAAAAACCTTTCATCATCATTCAAACATAATCACTGTCTTTGCAGAGGCACTCAGATACTACAGTTTAGATGTCCCTCCAAACTGCCAATATCCCAAACCCCTCTTTTAAAGTATAGGCACTGTACTTCCCATTTCCAGGACTCATGTCCGACTAACCAGTTTCCCTGAATCCCTTCACAAAATTTTACCCTGCTCACACTCCAACAGCTCGTCATCTCCCAAAAACCTTTCGTCTCCATTCATTCCTATCTAACACGCTCATGTATGCTTGCTGGAAGTCCAAGCTCCTCTCCCACAAAACCTCCTTTACTCCCCTCCCTCTAACCTTTTCGAGGACTACCCCTACCCCGCCTTCCTTCCCCTACAGATTTAAACACTCTCCAAGTCATTCTACTTTGTTCCATTCTCTCTAAATGACGAGACCACCTTAACAACCCCTCTTCACCCCACTGACTAATACTTTCAGTAACTCCACACCTCCTAATTTCCACACAATGAATTCTCTGCATAATATTTACACCACACATTGCTCTTAGACAGGACACCTCCACTGCCTCCAGGTGCCTCCTAGCTGCACCATTTGCAACCCAAGCTTCACACCCGTATAAGCGTGTTGGTACCACTATACTTTCATACATTTCCTTCTTTGCCTCCATGGATAATATTTTTTGTCCCCAAAGATACCTCAACGCACCACTCGCCTTTTTTCCTTCATCAATTCAATGGTTAACCTCATCCTTCATAAAACCATCTGCTGACAAGTCAACTCCCAAATATCTGAAAACATTCACTTCTTCCATACTCCCTCCCTCCAATGTGAAATCCAATTTTTCTTTATCTAAATCATTTGATACCCTCATCACCTTACTCTTATCTATGTTCACTTTCAACTTTTTACCTTTACACACCCTTTACACACAACAATTACGATAAATATATCAGGAAATACTGTACAAAACAAATTTTTATAATTTACCAAAGGTAAAGAGTAAAGGTAAAGGTAGAGAAAACTGGAGACAACTATATATGATACTGTGAGGTTAATGGTTACTTTGAGAAAAGTGGTTATACAGTCAGGATTAGAGCTTACATTTAGAAAACCAGTAGTGAAAATACATGGACAAAACAAGACAAAACTGCAAACAGGTACTAGATGAGTAGAAACACTGGAGAATGAGAAAGACTGAATGTGGGTGGAGGAAAGCCTAATGATAAACAGGATGGAAATTGAGTGAAATAAAAATAAGAAGTTTGTTTTTAGAGGTGATTCACTGGCAAACAGAAAGGATGCACATAGAACAGCTGGAGACAAAAACAAATATACAGAAGGATGAAGTCAAGCAGTAAAGAGAAATAACATAACAGAAATGACTGCATATCTTGAGATGGTAGAGCACTATCAGTAACTCACATGAAGGTGTTCCTCAGGCACCTGTACCTCGCCACACATAGTGATGGGTTCACACCTGCTCTTGCAGAAAGGGTGGGGTTCACCCTTGATCAGAAACACCTGATTCTTCTCACATCTCCTGCAAGTGTTGTACATTACTTGCGTGATCTTGTCAATAAGATGAGTTAAACTGATGTCTATGAGAAAAACAAATATTTTACCTTTCTGATCTAAACTTAGAGTAAAGGAGAAACAATATTAATTTATGAGCATGCCACTCTAACAGTGTTTTAAGAAATAATGCTGTTCCCTATCAGAAGACTTAATTAATGTTAACACCACATTTAGTTACAGTTGTTCTTTCATAAGCATTAAATGCCATACAAACATCATTACGAAGTAGTCATTGTAGTTATAAGAAATATATAGTACAAGAACATGTCTAACTCTTAAAATATCACATAAAATACTGATACCAGGCTCACCGTAGACCATGAATACATTAGTCACTAATAATGTAATGTAAAAATGTTAGAAGAGATAATGACAATGGAGTGGAACAGGAGAGAAAAACTAAAGAATAAAAAGAGTGAGATCAAGTAAAAAGAGACTGAGAAAGAAGAGAGGGGTGACCAAGAAAAGAAGTGAGGTGACCAAGGAAATATGAGGAGGTGACCAAGAAAAGAAGAGAAGGGTAACCAAGGAAAGAAGACAGGGATGACCAAAGAAAGAAGAGAAAGGTGGCCAAGGAAAGAAGAGAGGGGTAACCTAGGAAAGAAGACAGGGATGACCAAAGAAAGAAGAGAAAGGTGGCCAAGGAAAGAAGAGAGGGGTAACCTAGGAAAGAAGAGAGGGGTAACCTAGGAAAGAAGATAGGGGTAACCTAGGAAAGAAGAGGGGTAACCTAGGAAAGAAGAGAGGGGTAACCTAGGAAAGAAGAGAGGGGTAATCAAGGAAAGAAGAGAGGGATGACCAAAGAAAGAAGAGAAGGGTGACCAAGGAAAGAAGAGAGGGGTGACCAAGGAAAGAAAAGTGGAAGACCGAGGAAAGAAGAGAGGGGTGACCAAGGAAAGAAGAGAGGGGTGACCAAGGAAAGAAGAGTGGAAGACCGAGGAAAGAAGAGAGGGGTGACCAAGGAAAGAAGAGAGGAATGACCAAGGAAAGAAGAGGAGACCAAGGAAAGAAGAGAGGGGACCAAGGAAAGAAGAGAGGTAGACCAAGGAAAGAAGAGAGGTAGACCGAGGAAAGAAGAGAGGTAGACCGAGGAAAGAAGAGAGGGAGACCGAGGAAAGAAGAGAGGGAGACCGAGGAAAGAAGAGAGGGAGACCGAGGAAAGAAGAGAGGAGTGACCAAGGAAATAGGATGAAAGAGGTGAAGCGTAAGGGAGGGGGGAGGCTGAGTGTGTTTGTGTACGGGGAGGAGAGGGGCTGAGTGCGTTTGTGTGTACGGGAAGGAGAGGGGCTGAATGTGTTTGTGTGCACAGGGAGGAGAGTGGTTGAGTGCGTTTGTGTGTACGGGGAGGAGAGGGGCTGAGTGTGTGTGTGCGGAGAGGAGAGAGGTTCAGTGTGTTTGTGTGTACGGGGAGAGAGGTTCATCGTGTGTGTACGGAGAGGAAAGAGGTTCAGTGTGTTTGTGTGTATTGGGAAGAGAGAGGTTGTTTGAGTATGGGGTGGAGAGAGGTTGTGTCTGTGTACGGGGAGGAGAGGTTGAGTATGTTTGTGTGTGCGGGGAGAAGAGAGGTTGAGTGTGTGTAGGGGGAGGAGGAGAGGGGTTGAGTGTATGTGTCCAGGGGGGATCGACGTTGTGTGTGTTTGTGTGTTGGGGGAGGTATGATACAAGAGTAAGTGTGTAAAGAGCCACATACTAGAGGATTGGTAAGCTGACCTAGTAAACTGATGTTTACTGACACCTTGTGTTCTGAGTAAACACATAATAGTGGTAACTGCTAACTTAGTCCACATTTGTGTGTACGTACTTTTGAATAATCTGGTGACGTACCTGTTGAGTCTGATGACACTCTCTGTGCGTCTCACCATGAGTGCCTGTTGCCAGTACGACACAGCTGATGGCATCACATTCTCCTGTAATAAAACACAATAATTACAAATTGACAATAAGACTTCAAGTGTCCACTGAAAGCCTCCTAGTTATCAATGCATGTAATAAAATATTGTTAAGCAAAAAGAAGGCCACTTAACATGCGGTGCATTTCAGCAGTCATCATAACTATTTCGTTGGCCATCTTTTCATATCTTAAAATAGTCAATACTGACAGATATCTAGTAAAGATACTTTTCGATCTGGTCTCATTAAGCAGAATTCACCAAAAGACAAAGTAACTGGCAAAAAAGCGCAACTGACTGCCGGACTTTTTGTAAGTAATATCAAGAGTAAGTGTGATTGAGCATGACAGCCAGGAATTGGTAAGGTCAGTCAATACTAGCCACAACGCAAGGCTAGGAACTATGATTCGATCCGTGCAAATAATTAGGTGAGTACACCTACACCCACGCACATATGCATACACACACATACACAGGAGGAACCATACATCGTTTTAAGACGAGGTTTGATAAAGCTCATGGAGCAGGGAGACAGAGAGGACCTAGTAGCGATTAGTAAAGATGGGGGGCCAGGAGCTATGAACCGAACCCTGCAACCACAACAGGTGAGTACACACACACCTACACAAACATACACACACGCACACACCATATACACATACAAAAACTGTCCAAGTGTTTATCGACGAGTGCCTTTGACAACTAGTAACTAGTACACACACACACACACACACACACACACACACACACACACACAACACACATGAGGATCAAGCAGGACTACAAAGAGACTTGGACAGGCTGGACGCATGGTCCAGCAACTGGCTCCTCGAATTTAACCCCGCCAAATGCAAAGTCATGAAGATCGGGGAAGGGCAAATAAGACCGCAGACAAAGGATAGGCTAGGTGGCCAAAGACTGCAAACCTCACTCAAGGAAAAAAGATCCTGGGGTGAGTATAATACCGAGCGTATGTCCTGAAGCGCACATCAACCAGATAACTGCTGCAGCATATGGGCGCCTGACAAGCCTGAGAATAGCGTTCCGATACCTCAATAAGGAATCGTTTAAGACTCTGTACACCGTGTACGTCAGGCCCATACTGGAGTATGCAGCGCCAGTTTGGAACCCACACCTGGTCAAGCACGTCAAGAAATTAGAGAAAGTGCAAAGGTTTGCAACAAGGATAGTTCCAAAGATCAGGGTAATGTCCTACGAAGAAAGGTTAAGGGAAATCGGCCTGACGACACTGGAGGACAGGAGGGTTAGGGGAGACATAACGACATATAAAATACTGCGAGGAACGGACAAGGTGGACAGAAACAGCATGTTCCAGAAGTGGAACACAGAAACACGGGGCCACAATTGGAAGCTAAGACTCAGATGAGTCACAAGAATGTTAGGAAGTATTTCTTCAGTCATAGAGTTATTAGGAAGTGGAACAATCGGAAGAGTGGTGTAGTGGAAAGAGGATCCATACATAGCTTTAAGATGAGGTATGACAAGGGTCATGGAGCAGGGAGAGAGTGGACCTAGTAGCGGCCAGCAAAGATGAGGGGCCAAGAGCTGTGACTCTACCCCTGCAACCACAAACAGGCGAGTATAAATATATTAAGTACGCGCACCCACCCATACACACACAAAAAAAAAAAACTTCATCACTGATCTCCACTAAAACATCAACAATACTCACGTGAATAAGGTCGTATTTTTCCCGTGATAACCTGAAAAGAAGAAGATAACAAATTAAGTAATTAATTTGGAACAACAGAAGACGCAGTTGTAATATTTATACCTCTACTGTATATCAGGGCTTAGAATATTATAATTTAGCAATAAACAAAATATTCACTGAGATAATATATAGAAATTAATGTGTACTCAAAGGCTGAATGCCTTGTCTTGGTCTTAATTGCAGTGTGTTTATGTACACTCTAGATGTTGACAATACTGGTATTGCTCGAGGAGGAGGGACGGAAATTATGGCAGATGTAGATCCTCATAATTAAAATTACTCAGCGCCCTATATGATGTAATTTAACGCACGTATACAACACATCTTACTAACAAACATCCAGTAGGTAAAACAATATATATAATTATAAAACGTTGCAATTTATGTAAGAAAAATTTAATCACGGTGAAAGGCCACGGAGGTCTACACACACCGCGGTGATTATAAAATCTATTTTAATCCGGTATGAGCGGAGCCTAGAGCCTGTTATTAAGATTTAAGTCAGTCATGAGCATGCCATGAGCTGCACAGTGTACAAAGGAGCAGAATTCCGTGCAAGAAGGTAACAAGGCAGTGTGTGTATGCCCTTTTATCCTTAATCTAGAAAAATTGTCTATGAATGATTCCTGGGAGGAGGGACAAACACCTACGTCTTGCTAAAACTTGTACAGCTTGCTGCTCGTCTTTAAGGACTATCAGGATTACCACTCTCTGATTATATAACTCCATATGTGGCAGAGAGAGCCACTGGAACAGTCTCCTGTTGAGCGGGTACTGTGCTACAGCCTTTACCTCTGCATCTACCGGTTCATTACCCGGGAATCTGACATGTCCTAGGCACCAACATAATTCCTGCTTGTGTCTGGATTATCGGAGTCACAAGATGCTTAATGATATAATGTGCCAGGGACAATAATATACTATAGAGTTAGAACAGTATAAACACTTCAAATATTATTAACAGACTTGCACACGAAAATCACTCCATATGAAAGCAAAAGACTCGGCAGGAGATGCAACATTCCCCTAAAGAAAAGCAGGGGCGGCACGAGTACACTGAAAGACAACACAATAAATGTCAAGGGCCCAAGACTGTTCAACTGCCTCCCAGCATACATAAGGGGAATTACCAATAGACCCCTGGTTCTCTTCAAGAAAGCACTGGACAGCCACGTAAAATCAATGCTTTACCAGCTGGGCTGTGGTTCGTACGTCAGTTTGTGTGCGGCCAGCAGTAACAGCCTGGTTGATCAGACCCTGATCCACCACGAGGCCTAGTCTCAGACAGAGCCGCGGAGTGTTGACCTCCGAAACCCTCTCCAGGTATACTCCAGGTGACCGGGACCCAGTTTAGCATGTCAGGCTGAAATGCTAAACTGGGTCTCGGTCAGTATTCCAGTCTGGCTCCCTCCAGGCTGGATTACTGCTGCATACTAGTAGCCCCCTCAAGGCCGGTGAGATTGCTAAGCTAGAAAGCATACATTCAAATAACTGTGAACACTTGAAATTCTTGGAAAATCCCGGAGGGAGTAGTTCCAGACTAGTTTACTGGAATCACTCAGTATGAAAGTTAGAGACTTGACAGACGGTGTATGGTACCTTCAATTAAAAGCAGGAGAGCGATAAGTACACCAAGGGAGAACTAAGTAAGTGTTAAGGGTTCCAATTTTTTAACACCCTGCCTTCCTGCATAAGGAGAATTACCAACAAAAATTGGCCTGTTTTCAAGAGAGAAATTGATAAGTTCCTAAATCTGCTTCCTGACCAGCCGGACTGTGAATCGTATGTTGAATTGCGTGCAGTCACTAGTTACAGCTTGGTTGATGAGCCCTCGATTCACCAGGAGGCCTGGCCTGGGACAGGACCGCGGGGGAATTGTCCCCCGGAAATATTCTTTAGGTGTCCTTCAGGCCTTTGAAGGTATACTTGTTGAAGATTGAGACACTTATGCAGCATATGGGAATCTTTATTCCTGAATAAAGATTCCCATATGCTGCATAAGTGTCTCAATCTTCAACTTGTCGGTTTTTCAAACCATTCATCACAAGGTATACTTGTACATTTGTTGCATGGCTGATCAGTTGTGTTACTAGGTGACTGGGACCTAGTTTATCACATCCGGCCTAAGGTGTCACTGCAAAGCATGAGGCTGTTTTCTTTCCACTTCTGCTTACTGATAGTCCTTCTCCAAACAAGTATTGCCGGAAACTGCTTCCCGGTGGCCCGGTGGCCTGGTGGCTAAAGCTCCCGCTTCACACACGGAGGGCCCGGGTTCGATTCCCGGCGGGTGGAAACATTTCGACACGTTTCCTTACACCTGTTGTCCTGTTCACCTAGCAGCAAATAGGTACCTGGGTGTTAGTCGACTGGTGTGGGTCGCATCCTGGGGGACAAGATTAAGGACCCCAATGGAAATAAGTTAGAAAGTCCTCGATGACGCACTGACTTTCTTGGGTTATCCTGGGTGGCTAACCCTCCGGGGTTAAAAATCCGAACGAAATCTTATCTTATATAAGCAGGATAATACTTTATTGCTTCCAATATCAGCAGGATAATACTGTATTGCTTCCTATATCAGCAGGATAATACTTTACTGCTTCCTATATCAGCAGGATAATACATTATTGCTACCTATATCAGCAGAATAATACTGTATTGCTTCCTATATCAGCAGGATAATACTCTACTGTTTCCTATATCAGCAGGATAATACTCTACTGCTTCCTATATCAGCAGGATAATACTCTACTGCTTCCTATATCAGCAGGATAATACATTATTGCTTCCTATATCAGCAGGATAATACTGTATTGCTTCCTATATCAGCAAGATAATACTGTATTGCTTCCTATATCAGCAGGATAATACTGTATTGCTTCCTATATCAGCAGGATAATACTGCATTGCTTCCTATATCAGCAGGATAATACTTTATTGCTTCCTATATCAGAAGGCTAATACTTAATTGCTTCCTGCACCAGCACGTTCATATTTTATTTAAGGGAATTCACAAACTTACTGTTTTTGTGGTGGTTGTGACAGATTTTTGTATTGCTATGTATTGATTTAATGGATATTATCTGCTCTAACGTTGGGTTTCCCATCCGCTGGAAATACGCAGTAAATTATGGGAGTAATGTTTGGCAAGTTTAAGTAACCTGGAAAAAGAGCTCTGTGTTTTATTACGAAAATCCTATATAAGTGCATAGTGCGGCCACCCTAAACTGACATTTGACTAGACAGGAACAAATGCCAAGTTTACCTAACAGTTATGCAGGATGTTTTTTCTTACACTCCATCGTACAGCATGGCTTTACTGTCCTACTTTAGTCTACCGGATGGTTTTACTGTCCTACTTTAGTGTAATGGATGGTTTTACTGTCCTATTTTAGTCTACTGGATGGTTTTACTGTTCTACCCCATCCCCCCACGATGGTTATTACTCTCGTACTCTAGCCTAATGTATGGTTTTCCTACCCTACTCCAGCTTACAGGATGGTTTTTTTCTTCCCTACTCCATCCCCCAGGATGGTTTTCCTGTACTGCTTTAGTCTACAGGATGGTTTTCCTTCCCGTACGCCATCCCACAGGATGGGTTTCTTGCATTACTACACCCCCAGGGTTGTTTCCCTGCCCTACTCTAACCTATAAAATGAATTTCCTGTCATATTCCATCCCGAACGATGGCTTGTTACTCAGAGTATTGTGTAAATTGTGTACCACTACAGTTCGTCCAGGTGTAACTGGGGCAGAGCCGCCATAAAATAAGGCTAGATACACTGTGGTATGTTTGGTATGTGTATTAAGGGTGTAGATTACAGTTAAGAAGACTGAGATTTATCAGAATACCAGCATGGCGCCTAGGGAGTAATGTGTATATTTCTCCTTGCTGATGTAATATTCCCGCTCCCTCGCTCACAACCTCCTTCACACACATTAATACACCTACGGCAGTAATGTTTTATGATGCATTATGGTTACACTTAAGTATGTGCTTCTGTACAGACGAGCCTAGCCCGTGGCAGGGCTCCAGTAGAAAAACTCTCGGAACTCATTAAAGGTATATGAAAGGTAAAGATACATCGGCCTACAATCTTTATAAAGTCATATTTCCAGTTTATACTTGAAATATTATACCACTGATGCTACCCTGTTATTTTACATTAACTTTGATATAGTGCACTGGAACCTGTGTTGATTTTCTTCTGTCTTGCTACTCTGTCTTGCTGTCTTGCTACTGTCTTGCTACTGTCTTGCTACTGTCTTGCTACTATGTCTTGCTACTGTCTTGATACTGTCTTGCTACCCTGTCTTGCTACCCTGTCTTGCTACTGTCTTGCTACCCTGTCTTGCTACTGTCTTGCTGCTCTGTCTTGATACTGTCTTGCTACCCTGTCTTGATACTGTCTTGCTATCCTGTCTTGATACTGCCTTGCTACCCTGTCTTGCTAGCCTGCCTTGCTACCCTGCCCTGCTACCCTGTCTTGCTACTCTGTCTTGCTACCCTGTCTTGCTACTGTCTTGCTGCTGTTTTGCTGCTGTCTTGCTTCTGTCTTGCTACTGTCCTGCTACTGTTTTGCCACTCTGTCTTGCTGTCTTGCTACTTTTTTGCTGCTGTCTTGCTACTGTCTTTGCTACTGTCTTGCTGCTGTCTTGATATTGTCTTGCTGCTGTCTTGCTACCGTCTTTGCTACTGTTGTGGAAAATACTGTACATATTTTCCAGAAATACAGTAGTTATATGTAAATAGATGGCCATACTGTATTTAATAATATTTATGTCATAAAAAACGGAAAGCCTGCGTCTGCGCAGAAGACACTCGCCATTGTTATTTTGAATTGGATACAACGTTAGTGTAATGAGAAGAATTTTTCGTGCTCTAGAGGTTAAAATTGGGTGGACACCTCTCAAATAGGAGGCGAAATTGTTGGATGTGCATTACTGCATAACTTGAGATATCAGGCGACTGGACAAGACAGCTCCAGAAACCTCAGATAAGTCTTACGTAGTAACCTGGCCAGTGTTATTTTCATAGATAGACAGTGAGGTTTTCTGAGTATGATACACATTAATCTCCAGTCAAATTGGTGAGTGATATTAAGATATTCTCCTTCTGTTATGTATAAATATATATATAATCATTTATTATTATTAATATACAGTCCACAAATTTATATATTTACCAGAATTCCTGGTTATGTATCTTTTATTTATAATTAATAAGTCCAGAGCAACTTGTGGATATGACAGTGGTAGATATCGAAGGGGGACATTTTTTGCCACCTAGGTGTCCCAAATTCCTACTTGTCTAACTGATAAATAATAATTATCTTTGTTATTTACTGGTATGTACATTATCAGTTACATCCAGATAAATGTAATTTTCCACAACTGTCTTGCTATTTTGTCTTATTAATTCAGTAGCCCTGAAGGGAGACTTTGAAGTAGTTGCCAGAGTTTTATTTTTATTCTTCCTCCAAACTTCATAACGCCTCAACCGACTGGCTTCAACATTTCACTGTGACTTCACTGTGTTTGTGGGTTCCTGCGACCAGTAGCGTGTGTAGCTGCCCTGTGATCGGTGTTACTCAGTTCATGCTGAATTTTCTGCACGAGTCCGGTAAGTTTCAAAGCGTCTGCTGAACTTCAATAAAAAAAATGGATGTATCCTAATTCGACATGGTAGAGAGTGCCACTCAAGAGTCCAGATGTATATTTGTTGATATTTTGTAAAATAAAGTCATTATTTCCCTTTAAATCATGTTATCTGACGGATGATGAATCTTATGGGCAGAATAATACAATAAATTTATATGGTGTGGACACAAATGCATCAACATACTAACAGATTAAAAGAAACTTGGAATCGATGGATTCTGTGCATAAACTGGAGAAGGTCTCTCTTTATGCAGCTGAATTTCCAGGCAAAGAGTGGTTATCCTTCCTCAGTTCATATTTCAAAGCCTAGCCGTGTCTGAGGTGTACTGCCACCCTCTGACATGTGACACACAACACTCTGCTAACACCCAGGTAATTACTGACTGATAGGTAGAGAGAAGCAGCAAGTGTAAGGAAACATGCCCAACATTTCCACCCATGCCGGAGATCGAACCATGGTCCCTCAGTATGTGAGCTGAGGACACTTATCAACTGAGCCACGGGCTTCCAACTTATAAGGCTGGAATGTTTTGTTGAACGCAATGGTCGTCACTGAGCTGACTGGGCTCAATTTGTCAATTTAATTAAATAAATTAATATTTATATGCATTCAATAAACAAAATTTTTTTTTCTGATCAGCTTCAAAACATTAACACTGAAGCATGAGATACCACACAAGTTTAGTCTGCAGAGGTACAAACTGGAACGTTTACTGACATTGTATATAAACTTTGAATCGTTGGATTCAGAGCAATTATTGAAGAATGCCTTTTCACTGTTGGTGGGCTTTCTTAAAAAAAAACTTGGCATCGACTTTGAGCTGTGTAAATTTTAATTTACCAATTTTGTGATTTTATGATTTTGGGTTCCATGCGATAATGTTAGAAAGCCTCCTCTGAATGGCTACAATCTTGCGACACTGGTGTATCCTACTTAGAAGCTTGGTATTGTTAGTGAAAAAAAAATAAAATTTACATGGCTCAGTTTCTAAATGTATTTAACGTCTGTTTAATTTTCAACTGGATATACCAATTTCTAAGTTGTCCACAGAGGTATGACACTCCAAAAATTTTATTAATATAAATAAAAAGCTAGAAGTTACAAATCGTAATAAAATTTTAAATCATACCCTAAGACACTAACAATCAGAGTTTGAAGCCAACTAGAAGAGACATTCTCCATTTATCGCATTAAATCTAATGTCTTCAAGATTTTAACATTGTTAGTATAATGACAAATTTGCAGCCCACACAAATTAAACTTCTAGAATATCTTACATTTCCTAAGATGAATCATCCATTAATGATTTTAAACTGTTCAGAAGAGGCATTGTCAAGTTATTTCACACGACAAAATACCACACTATTTAAAAAAATGTTAAATTACCACCTTCATACTCAAATAACACTCCCAACCTCCTAAGATACACCAGCGTTGAAAGTTTACTTAATCAAAAAGGTTTTCTTGACTATCACACAGAAACGAAGTCCGGGACTGGCCTATATAAAACTGACAGGACATTTGAACATTCCAATCTTTGCATGAATCTTGCCCTAGCTGCAAGGCAACAACGTTGAAAATTTAAAACTGATCGGATTAGGCGTTCAACTTATAAACGAAAACCTTAGAAGAAAACAATATTCAGACAGTGAATTAAAGTACTTCCTGCAGGGAGAGCTAATAATAATAACGGTAGCATTTTACACAAGACATGTTTACAGTACTACACATGTTTACAGTACTACACATGTTTACAGTACTACACAAGACATGTGTCCAGTACTATACGAGATGTGTACAGTACTACACAAGATACATTTACAGTACTACACAAGACATGTGTACAGCACTATACGAAATTTGTGTACAGTACTACACAAGATACATTTACAGTACTACACAAGACACATGTACAGTACTGCACAAGACATGTACAGTACTACACAAGACACATGTACAGTATTACACAAGACACATGTACAGTACTACACAAGACACATGTACAGTATTACACAAGACACATGTACAGTACTACACAAGACACGTGCAGTACTAGCATATTTATTGAGGAGAAAAGTCTCGCCAATAAACATCCCGGCATTACACTTCTTATTTCACACTTGCCGCTATGTGATTCCATCCTCTCAAAGTTGCAGAGTAGGAGCACCACCCCCGGGGGTGAGAATAACTTACCCATAGACGGAGTCGTCGTAGTAGAGAGAGATCCTGAGAGGCTGGTCCACGCTTCTCTTCCTCACCTCGTGTGCTGCCTCCAGGTGTACACCCAACACTACCTGCACACACAAAGTTAAACACATCAGTATGTTACCTACACGAATACAATACAAACATGATAAACTATGCCGATAAATGGTTCAGAGAACCGACAAGTTGATGAATTAGACACATATGCAACACTTGGGTATCTTTACTGAGGAAAAGTTTCGCCACACAGTGGCTTCCTCAGTCTAAACAAAGAAGAATGGTGAAGATCAGAAAGAGTTTGAGATAATCAGTCCCTCAGCCTGGAGTCGATGTAATCAGTCCATCAATCTTAAAAAGACTACAGCATATGCGCGAAGAAATGGCTGATATACTGTAAACAGGTGAGGTGAAACAGTCGTAGGTGGTATCACAATGGTTCTCTGAACCATTTATCTATATTCCTGTCAGACACAGCAACATCTTGGGATCCTGACACAGGGAATTCTTCACTTGCCTAACCTATTGGCATGACCTACTTCCACATGTGAATTTGTCCACTGTGATACCACCTATGACTGCTTCACCTCACCTGTCTACAGTATACAAGCCACTTCGCACATATGCTGTATTCTTTTCAAAATTGAAGGACTGATTACATTGACTCCAGGCTGAGGGATTAATTACCTCAAACTCCTGATATTCACCATTCTTCTTTGTGTAGGACTGATGAAGCCACTGTGTGGCGAAATGTTTCCTCAATAAAGGTACCCAAGTGTAGCACATGTGTCTAATTCATCATGATAAATTATATTTAAAATGTACAGAACCTACTGATCAACAACATAGGTGAGAAGAAAAATAACTAGTGATGAACAACTTTATATAATGATCAAATTATTACTGAACTTGACCATAAAACAAAAAAGTTGTAATCGCTGACTTCATTTATAAGGAAATAGACTAGACGGTATAAGAGGGTAGAACCTAACGCAAGTGACTAACAGAATTTTTAAAATGTGACAACGCCGCCTGGTTCACTATTTTATTGGGCTGTTTATATGCACATGTTTCTTCTACCTTATGTGATGGTAAGAAAATGGGAAACTTCGGGTTAAACTTCTGCATTAAAGCGCTTCCTTTGAATATGGAAGCAAGTGTACTCATTAGGATACACATGAGGTGGACATATAATAGACCTAGTCAATCTTACTGACTTTAAAAATAAAGTTGGAACGTTGCTTCATGAATAGCCAGCTTTGTACTGTTACTCAGGAGTCGTGTGTTTATTTAACCGGGAGATATTAGGTTATGAAGTCCTTCACTCCTAACCACTTCTTACCAGACCTCCCACACTTTTACACGCCTCACTATCCCCCCACATTTCAAAACAGCAACGCATGTAACAAAGAGACTAGGTGAACATTAAATTTAGGTTTGCCAACAAGAGCTGTGATATTGTAAAAAAAAAAAAAAACAAAAAAACAGCTACCACCAAACGTAAGCTTTCTCTGTGACTCACGAAATCGTAATGACACGATTCGTCTGTAAAAACTTGCATTTGTGGTCACAGTGGTGCCTATGCTAACCTTCCTATGGTGTAGAAATATACCTAGTTGGACGAATCTTATTGTGGCTAGCTGGTCCAGTGGCTAACGCGACGGTCTGGAGTTTTGAGACTCTCTGACCGCGGGTTCAAATCCCGCCCGTGGTATGGTTTGTAAGCTTTCTCTACTCTGCACGGTGTCACTCCCTTCACGTTTCCTCTCCTGAGCGGAGGTGAGGAGTGACGAGGCATGTCACCTACAAGTGACGCATCTACTCCACTTAGGCAATGCTCTCTTGTCAGTTACTTAATTGTTTTTATTTGGCTTTATTGAACTTATTTTATTAAGACAAAAATTACTGTCATTCCTGTGGGAAAGACAGTTCCAGTATAGTTGCTCCCTGTCGTCCGAATATTTTAACTTTTAATGTTTGTACAGTCATTATTTGTTAAAGTAACAATGAATTTTGTTCTTCCTTGTTTCCTTATTGTCATCAGTGTATTTCTCAATTCCTTTAACCCTTAAACTGTCCAAGCAGATCTATGTTCACATGCGTAGTGCTCCAAAAGTAGATTACGTTTTTTTACATATTTTAAAAAAAAAAAAAACTTTGATCACTATTTTTTACACGTTTTCAAATGTAAAATAAAAAAGATCTACTTTTTTTACATACTTTCAAATGTTGAAAAAACGTAGATCTACGTTTGGACAGTTTAAGGGTTAAGTAAAGACCCTATACTGTATGAGGTTTTCGTCCTGGATTTTGCGTAACAGAAGAAATATTTGAAATTTCTTTTATTGTTCTTTACTCCCAGTGTATTTCTTGGACACTACGATACAGTCAGTATTATTTCCTTAACTAGAGTTTCCTTTTGTGCTTCATCGAGTCTGTGGACTTTGAGAAGATCTGTTATATGTCGTCTTCACCTACAAAGGGAGCGCCTCTATCGAGTATACATCGTCACCTTTGCTGTAAAAGTACGTGTCTGGAGCATATGTCGAGCGCTAATGAGTTCATCTTCCCAAGGTGGTCATAATGTCACAATTCACTTGGCAATCCTTGATGTTCTTGTTTAAAATGAATTTGCTGAATTCGACCTCATAACTAACCAAGTTTCTGTCCCAAGCCACTGTGCATGCAGGTCTGACCCTCTACTATGTTGTAGTGAGATTGTCTCGGACCAGGTCCTCGATGTGCACAAATATAAGGTCTAGGGTGTTTCTCAGTCTGGTCGGTTCGGCAGTCTGCTGGCTTGAGGCGAATTTATTGCAAAGGTTTAATAATATTGTTATGTAAGACTGTTCCTCTCAACTAACTGCAGGGACTATAGTTTCCACACAAACTAAAAAGTAGTTTCCCTGCAAATCTTTTCAATAATGGCACACTGCAACCATTCAAGATATCACTGCCAATTTTTTTTACAGCTGTAACACCCATATATATATATATATATATATATATATATATATATATATATATATATATATATATATATGTGTGTGTGTGTGTGTGTATGTGTGTGTGTGTGTGTGTGTGTGTGTGTGTGTGTGTGTGTGTGTGTGTGTGTGTGTGTGTGTGTGTGTGTGTGTGTGTGTGTGTGTGTGTCGTGCCGAATAGGCAGAACTTGCGAACTTGGCTTAAATAGCAACGCTTATCTTGCCATATAGGACAAGTGAAATTTGTATATGCAATAATGTCGGCAAAATCATTCTGAACCTAACGAAAAAAATTTATTTCTTTGTGTTTGTTTAGTATTAAATTACTGTATCAACATATGTGGTCTTCGACAAGATACGGATATCAGAAAAATCACTGGAACGAGTGTTAAAGTTTAACGAGGAAACTTGATCACCATCTCCACCAAGTGCCAAATCAATTACACTATGGATTATGCTCACCAGCAGCTAACAACAACAGCCAGGATGAACAGGCAAGCAACAAGGAAGCCTGGACCCTGGCGGTGCTGCGTGGGCAGAACTCTGGAATGCAGGCACAGGTAGTATGAAAATGGTGGAGCTGGCAGTACCGGAGGGTGGAGTACTGGAGCCAGTGCACCATATAGGGCCGTCACCACCACTAGCACCCTCCCAGACATTTCCTCCATCACGCTGATGGTAGCCACCACCAAAACGGCAGAAGCCATATATGGTCACCAGACATGATAATTGTACAAGTATGTTCACCTACGACGCCACGTTATCCTTAAACAATACCTCTACCTCCTACTTCACTCTGTTAAATTATACCTCTATCTCCTACCTCACTCTGTTAAATTATACTTCTACCTCCTACCTCACTCTGTTAAATTATAACTCGACCTCCTGCCTCACACTGTTATCTCACACCGATGCTCTTCTTACTTCACACTGCGTTAATTCACCGGCTGTACACAAATATAAACGCTATGCACAGTTTTAACAATACGTTAGAAAGGTTTCATTTACAACAGCATAAGGAATACAGTGTGGTGCTTATGTTACAGGCTGGACATTTATACGTAGTACAGGTGTGGTGCTTATGTTACAGGCTGGACATTTATACGTAGTACAGGTGTGGTGCTTATGTTACAGGCTGGACATTTATACGTAGTACAGGTGTGGTGCTTATGTTACAGGCTGGACATTTATACGTAGTACAGGTGTGGTGCTTATGTTACAGGCTGGACATTTATACGCAGTACAGGTGTGGTACTTATGTTACAGGCTGGACATTTATACGCAGTACAGGTATGGTGCTTATGTTACAGGCTGGACATTTATACGCAGTACAGGTGTGGTGCTTATGTTACAGGCTAGACATTTATACGCAGTACAGGTGTGGTGCTTATGTTACAGGCTGGACATTTATACGTAGTACACGTGTGGTGCTTATGTTACAGGCTAGACATTTATACGTAGTACAGGTGTGGTGCTTATGTTACAGGCTGGACATTTATACGCAGTACAGGTGTGGTGCTTATGTTACAGGCTGGACATTTATACGCAGTACAGGTGTGGTGCTTATGTTACAGGCTGGACATTTATACGTAGTACAGGTGTGGTGCTTATGTTACAGGCTGGACATTTATACGTAGTACACGTGTGGTGCTTATGTTACAGGCTGGACATTTATACGTAGTACACGTGTGGTGCTTATGTTACAGGCTGGACATTTATACGTAGTACAGGTGTGGTGCTTATGTTACTGGCTGGACATTTATACGTAGTACACGTGTGGTGCTTATGTTACAGGCTGGACATTTATACGCAGTACAGGTGTGGTGCTTATGTTACAGGCTGGACATTTATACGCAGTACAGGTGTGGTGCTTATGTTACAGGTTAGACATTTATACGCAGTACAGGTGTGGTGCTTATGTTACAGGCTGGACATTTATACGCAGTACAGGTGTGGTGCTTATGTTACAGGCTGGACATTTATACGCAGTACAGGTGTGGTGCTTATGTTACAGGCTGGACATTTATACGCAGTACAGGTGTGGTGCTTATGTTACAGGCTAGACATTTATACGCAGTACAGGTGTGGTGCTTATGTTACAGGCTAGA